AGTGAGGTACACACAGTGCAATTCCTGATCATTATAAACAACTTCGTACAAAATCCACCCCACGACGGTCGAATTACCACATCGTGAGTGGGTGCGTCCCCTTAACAGGCCGCATGGCAGGCGCATGCTTCCAATCTTCTTAACTCTGTCTTGGCACAGGACAAATGTGGGTGAGAGAAGAGAGAATGCGGTGAATGCAGTAAAAGTCTATTGCTACTTAGAACTAACTGACGCACACGTCACTGTCCGTGCGTCACCATGTTATGAAGCATACATTGGACCTCGTCAAATACAACTGTCGACATGACTTTTGCCATCTAATGACTACAAAGAATGCCTGCGGAATTCGTTCCGCGCCTGTGGCCAACCCAACTTAACTGGATGGTACATTATCAGGAGGCATTAGGATTGGTAGCGAAATCGCCTATCAGAAATCCAAAGCCAGCCAGGTCTTTGAACAGCCACAAGCTTAACTTTGGCTACTCCACAGTCTCCAAATGAACACGAAGCTGACAGTGTATAGACCCGTCATCCCAACGCCGCTCCTAAGCAGTATGGAGACGTGGACAGTTACGAAACGCTAGGGGGTAAAACTTGGTCATTTTCTCCACAGCTGGTACGGAAGGCGTCCTTGAATAATTATCCGCTTCCAATTCGCATGAGAACCGTTCCTGAATAGTCCCTCTTCTTGTGTTATTACATTTTCCATTGCTGTTCCAGAAGAAATCTTTAAAACACGAAATTAATCTGAACTGGTTGATCAACGAAAGCCCAATTTTAAAGGGTCAAATCAAACCTCCAATGTAGTGAATATTCATGCTTTGCTGTATGCTCCTTACGCCTGTATCTTTTTTTTCAGTGAGAACTGCCCTGAACAAATCTGAGTGCATCGCTGAGATGCTTCTCGGAAGCATGAAGGGTCTCGGCACGCGGGATGACGATCTCATCCGCTTGGTCTTGGCGTACTCTGAGGTAGGTGTATTTGGCTGCCTGGGAGTGCATCGCTGTGGCAGTGTGTCTCAAGTAACGTCCGTTGGAAGCCGAGAAGTTGTTCTGAATAAGACAGAATGTTTTCAAAAAATGGGATGGTTAAGGGGAAAATACACTGTGCCTCTGAACCGAACTATTTGGCCTCTTCAACTTGTGTGAAAAAAATGCCGTTGACGCTCCAAGTCGAACTCATAGAGCAGATTGTTATTCAGGAGTATTTTAGGAGGTTTAGAGCTTGTTTATAGAAGATTTCGAATTCATCAAATACCTAAGTTCGATTTTTGATTATCAGACCAGTAAAATATAGCATGTCATTATAAGGCACTTAAAGGGAAAGAAACAACCAATGACAGAAGAGTTGGCATGGTATTACGCGGTGCCCGGGCGTACCAAACAAATGCCAAACAGTGTGCAGTTGTGTTTCGTAACTATACGGCCGAGTGATATGTTGTGGGTGATAATTTGCGGAGTTAGGTGGCTTTCAGAATAATGATCGACTTGCAAAAATGCCTTCTGCATGCATAAGACTGGGTTGGCTAACAGCGCCGCTTTCTTCCCTGTTCACGCAAGTATTCCTTAGCGTCAAAATTTGGGGTCTTCCTGGCACCCGGAAAATTACTGAAAAAGGCTTGGTTGAAGTGCGATCGGTGACCACTGCCAGGCATGTGACCGATGATTGTGTCGGAAAATGGACCTCAGCTTGCTTTGGTTATGTATTCCAAAATAAACTACCCCATCATCTATAAGTTAAGTCAACGAGTCTTGCATGACTTCGTGGTGAGCAAGCAGATTTTATTTACAGAGTATTAACCGAAATATGACCTTCAAATCTGACGACCAGGCAAACTAATTTTGGCTTTTGGAGATGTATTTAACACAGAACTGGAGCAACGTATGATCAAGTGGATTTTTTAATGTCTCGTGTGGGTACTGTGCGCACGTAAAATACCTGAGCTTTATTTTTTCCTTTTAGGACAACTTGGAAGACGTTAAGCGAGCATTTGCCGCGAAGAATGGAAAAACCCTGGGCGAATACATTCGTGGAGAGACGTCAGGGGACTATAAGAAGTTCTTACTCGCAATTGTCGGAAAGTAATTCGTCAAGCGGTGGAGCCAACAAAAGCCGTTAAATTTCTCTATTCTTCCTTCTTCTCGGGCGAAAAATTGAAATTTTTCGTAATACAATGGAACTGTCCAAGTACAATTGTCTTTTCCTATTTTGGGCTTCTTGAAGATTCTTGCTTCTGTTTGGAGACTGCAGTTATCCTTTTAAAGGAGAATCTCTAAAGATTAAAATATTTGTGAGACAATCTAGACGATTTTAATTGTCAAAAAGTTTCTCTTCCTAACAGTTAGCTCGGGACCAAAAAAATAGCGGGACGAAACGTAGACGAACTTGGTATCCAGGATAAAGTACTTGTCAGATTGGGGATCCGGTCTTTAAAAGAACCCGAAATTCAAACGCGCAGATGTACTGGTGTTGAAACTACCGGACCAATTAAGACGCACATGAACGGTGCCATAAAATGATCGATAGTATCGTTTGGCTTATTCTAGGCCGTATACCTCCCGGGAAGCCGAATGAAAATGTATGGCCTTGGTACGTACCCGCCTACGTGTACAAGTGTTCGTATGAAGGACGATGGCCATGCACCCATTCCCCTGCCCAATTATTATGGAAGAGATTTATGTTTCACCTAAGCCGATGATTCGTTCCCTTTGTGTGCGAATGCGCTAAAACAAAGGGCCAAATTTCTTAAAACAGATTTCACATCTACCAGAAAGAAATAGCAGTAATACTTCCAGTTACTGTCCCTCGATTTGCGCACCAGGAAGCACTCTAAGGCAAAATTGATATGATGACCTGGAAATCGTTGATTTCTCGAGAGACTCAGTGAGCGACGTAGTGTTTCGTTGAGCTCACAGGTAGTGCTAAAGACAACCACGTCGATAGGATCACAAGGGACTGCGACAACTCAGGAGAACCGCAAAGTAAGGACCTTTATTTTTACCACGAACCTCCACACAGTCGTTGCGGTTGTTGCATGGGAGATGCAAAACTGAAACTCCTTCTGGGGAAAAGGTTTTGTCACAATCTAAAGAAAATGTCAAAATATGGCTGCCCACACTAATTAGACCATTTTGGCGCTATAGGAAGTCGGAAAGTAATTCTTCAGGCAGTGGAGCCAAAAAACATCGTTTAATTTCTCTATTCCTTCTTCTTCTCCGGCAAGAAATTCGGCAATTTTTATAATATAATAGAACTGTCCAAATGCAATTTCCTTTTTCTACTTTGGGCTTCGTGAAGTTTGGAGACTGTAGTGATTTTATAGGAATATCTCTGAAGATCTGAATAGCTGTAAGATGATCTGGAGGATTTTAATTGTCAAAAAAGTGTCTGCTCTGAATAGTTAGCTGTGGATCAATAAATAGCAGGATAAAACGTAGGAGGTCACACCAAGTTGAGGCTCGATTTTATGCAAGGACTTGGAGTCTAAGATAGGGATATATTTCTTCAGAAGTAGGAGATACGATCGCTGGAACCAGAAGTTTATTTGTCTTACGTTTCGGATTCTGCATTGAACACTTCAGCAGACTGTATCTTCTACTTCTGGACTGCATCCTTGAACTCGCCTGTTCGCTTCTATCAGTGATTAATCACTTGTCGCTATGGGGGGTTCGGTCGTTAAAGAAACGCGGGGTTCAAATGCGTAGGTATACTACCCGACCAGGTAAGGCACACATGAACGGCGTCATACAATGATAGATAGTTTCTTTTGACTTATTCTGGATCGCATACCTTCCAATGAAGCCGAACCTAATTGGATATCCAAATGGATGTCCCTTGCGCTTGCTCGCCTACATACATAAGTGTTCCTATGAGGGACGAAGATCTCGCCGTCTAGTTAAAAAGAACGAAATTCACAGGTGTGGGATACGATGTGGTCCAGCCAGATAATAGACGAGAGAATGTATCCCAA